GAGAGAGAGAGAGAGAGAGAGAGAGAGAGAGAGTATGCTTATACATCAGTAAGGGAGTATGATGATTGATCTATAATCTACATGCTATTATGATTCAGAAATGAAACTGGAGCTATTTTTTATTGATAAACAGTGACAATGGTTCAAAAAATCTTGAAAGCAACTGTGATGTGTTAAAAAAAGAAAAATAATCTCAGTCTATCCAAAAGAATTTTGAACTTGTCTCAATCAGAATTACTGTTCTGGGAATGAAAATAACCGGATATATACACTTTTATATCTTACTAGTGTCTAGTATTCTTGACATGTATATGAGTGAAGAATGGACTGTTAACTAGTTAATTATATAGAAAGAACAAGCCAAAGGATGAGGTTTGACCCAAAGTTCTTCAACATCTACTTTATACACTAGAAAAAACTGCCAAGTAAACCAATGGATGTTATGAAAAAGTAATCAAAACAGTTCACTTGTATACAAAATATAACAAAACCAAAACCAATCAGTCTCCCCTGTTTAAAGAAAACCATTATGTAGAACCAATAAGCATGCCTTAACTTGATAATTATTTCTGCACACCTTTCGACAGAAAAGAAAGGGCGATAGTATGCCCATCACAAGTCTCTGGGTTAACGAGGCTGAGAGACTCCTAGTGTTCTCTCTACACATTTTTTCCTTGAACTTTTAAGGGCATTTTGGTATTTCTAGCCTGGAGACCCAATTATGAATGACTCACTTTCAAAGCAATCTTCTACAGAGACAAGTGAGCAAGTCCATTTAATCACTATTGGTTAATGATATCCATGTCATCATTCCACTGACTCACTGCCATTAAACCCCATTCGAAACCAAATGCCTTCTTAACCATGAGTTATATTAATATGCTAATATCAGTGTATCATGAGCCATATCAATATTCATAAGACTCAGAGCATCTTTCACAAAAGTTCTCTTGTCCAAGTTCCCAGATATAGTAGCTATGAAGGAAAACAAGATATATGTTCAGTTTGTTGTTAGATGTATTTTTAACATGCATTTAGGTGAATATAGGTCAGTAACCTTGTACATAAATGGTTGCAAGCAAATCTCTTTATTACCTTTAAGCAGATGCCATGCCATGAGTGGGTGATTCAAGAGAAATGTCCGTTAATTTGTCTCGCTCAATCTAACAATTCATTAAAGAGATCAACTAAGGATTAGGGTTAGGGTTTGGTCCGTCTAGGGTTTTAAATTGCTTTCACAAGCCAACCCTTTAGGGGTCAAACTTAAGAGTATTTATCAGCAAAATGAGTCCAAAAAATAGAAGGCAGTGACGTGAGCCAATCTGGAGGCAACAGCTGGCAGCCGCATATCCTGTGCAACATTTTCAGCTAACTTGCTCTGAATGATGCAAGTTTTCTTAGGATTATGATTTTGAGGATGTTCACTTGCTATTTCTGATCAAAATCACTCTGTTTGATGGTTTCCTTAATATCTCCTTTCTTTTTTACCGTAAAACCTGCCTTTTCAAAGTTTAGATTTCCTAAGCCTGAAATTCTATTGAAATACGGGTAATTCTTGGGATATTGTGGCTGGATTATGGGTCTGAATTACTATGGCTTGTAGTGGTCTCTAATTCATTGAGCTAGTGTGGTCCCCAGGGGTTTAAATAAACTTTTCTAACTATGGCTTAGGAGTCATCTTCTCATCGAAGTTGATTCCAGCACCATAGGTCGATTGCTGTGATTTTGGAAGAAGACATGTATTGACTGGAAATTGCAGGTCAACTTGATTTTCTCATTCTCAACATCTTCAAAGGAACGACACAAGGAACGACACAAGGGGACTGCTTGGAACTTCTTCTATTTTTCTAGAGGCATCTTATGTGTCACATTGCCATGCTCAAGTTATTCAAGAATTAAGTTGATTGGTCATCATCATCATCCTCCAAACCTTTTCCCAACTATTTGGGGTTGGCTAGAAAAAAAGTCTATTGGTATGACATATACTGTTCTAAAATAGGCGGTGCTTATAGCAATATCCAAACACAATGATGGGCACTTCCAACCTCAATAACAAACAGCATATCTTGTTCGGCACTTCCCATGGAAAATAACCTTTGCGTTAAGCAAGTTTTCAATTGATCAAGCTCTAGTTAAGGGAATTGCGAACATAGCTTGTACATATACAGCATGGCAATGCTTTCAATCACTGCAATTTACAATGTCTTACATGTCTAGGCCTCCATTTTTCACTGACATGCTCTTCCAAGCCTATAGAAAGTGCTAGGATCTGATGATTTGAAGAGACTCATCTTGAAGAAGAAGATCAATTCTGGTTCATATCATTGACCAGCAACCACTACTAGGGGGATGCACAACCGGAACCTTTAATGGCCTTAATTTGTGAGTTTGTATGCATGGACTACCTCAAGGAAACTTTACGTATCTATTAACTTCAGCATATCCTTACAAGCATTATCTTCATCAAATGTAGCAAGCATGTCCTCTACGTCAAATTTTAGTCAAACTGAAATTTTTTAATTCAAAATGGTTTGTTAAACCTTTAGACAACCATACAAAAATGCCAAATGTATAATAATAGGGATAAAAAAAATGGAGCGGATTCAACAAATCTATAAAAAGTATCAATACTCTAAATACTGATCTCACCTCCGCCATGGCTGGTGACACGGGGCCAATTCTTTTACTTAGCACCGTGCAACCTTAACGCTTAGCGAAACTGCTAAGGGGTTTAAGTTCAGCCTCACGACACATCGAGTAATGGAACTTTGCACACACACACCCGCACCAACACAAGGCTAAATGAATTCAACGGCCGTGGCCCATTTTATTAAGTTGTACACTAACAATGTATACTGCCACGGATGCCCCCTCAAGGGTCAGGGCGAAGGGCTTATATAGCCCCTTCTTACAACTCTTTTGCACATTTCAAATTTGCACACGTGATGGCTAGCCACAGCCCAAGGCCTGGTCACGAGCAGCTGGCAGGCAGCCAGGCTGCCCACGTCCTGAGCGGTTATGCATGAGGCTACAACCCACAGGCCACATCCTGAGGTGAGGCCTCTTAATGCACCAGCACACCTCTGCACCGTAACTGCCGCCTTCAATTTCGTGGCCCATGTCCCGGCTGTTATGCCCATGTCTTGGCCGTTACACCCACGTACCCACCTCTTGGTTCATTTGAATTTTGAACCTAGCGTCTACCCAGCCCACAGGTGCCTATAAAACCCACGGTCAGCCCACAGTTAGTTTTTGTCATGCTGTGGTGCACAGGCTCATGCACCTGTGCACCATGTTGATGCACATAGGCCTTGCCCACTGCTAGCCACCAGTTGACCCAAGGCTTCCACCATCCCCTCAATAAGAGGTGTAGGTCTAAACCACTTCAAATCTAAGAGTGCTTGTACCAGGCGTCCAAGTGGCACAACGGCAGGCTATGCACGGATGAGGCTTGATTGTGCACCAGGCTGGTTCATGAGGCTTGCTGAGCCATGCCTATGGCAGGCTGGAGGGCCAGGTGAGGCCTCAGGCAGGTTGGGCAGTGCATCAAGGGACGTTTGTGAGCCAATATGGCCCAACACTCATCGGGCCATTATGGCCTCCACCTTATGTTCGAACTAAGTCCTCACATTTGGTGGAGCTCAAACAGCTTGGACCCTACTTGGGTCTTCATCCTTGTGGTATGGCTTCAGGAAGCCTATGTGGAACACCGGATGAACCTTAATCCGGTCAGGAAGTGCTAGTCTGTAGGCCAGCTTCCCTATCCGATAGGTCACTTCGAATTGTCCACTGTACCGCTGGATCAAGCCACGATGTGCCACCTAAACACTAATCTTCTTTCAGATCTAAGAAGTGAGTTTTAGCATCACCCAGTCCTCAACCTGGAACTTAAGGGGCCGCTGTCTTGCATATGTGTACTTATTCATGTGCTTGACTGCCCGATCAAGGCACTCACGAGCTTCTTCCAACTGCTCGACCCTTGCCTTAGCCAATCTCAGTGTTGCAGGGCATCGGGACTGGCCTTGCCGCAGGGCCACATCAAGGGGTGACAGGGACTGTCGGCCTGTGGCTAACTCGAAAGCATTCTTCCCTATAGAAGAGTTCTGATGCAGGTTACAACAAAATTGAGCCACGTCAAGTAGGCTGACTGAGTTGTTCTGGTTGGCCGTCACATAGCGGCGAAGGTACTCTTCCAAGATTACATTCACCCTCTCAGTTTGACCATCTGTCTGAGGGTGGTTGCTAGTGGAAAAGTTTAGCTTAGTCCCCATTAACTCGAACAACTGTTGCCAAAAACTTAATGTGAAGTGAGCATTGTGGTCGCTTACGATGTCCTCGGAAACACCACCATTTCACCACATGGGTGAAGAACAACTGTGTTGCGGTCTCTGCACTGCATAGTTCAGGGGCCGCGATGAAGGTGGCATAGTTTGAAAAACGATCCACCACAACCATGATTTGACTCATCCCCTGCACCTTGGGCAAGCCACTTATGAAGTCCGTGGACAGGCTTGCTCATGGACCTTCAGGGATGGGGAGAGGCTCGAGTAGACCAGCTGGCCTCTGTTGGTCAGTCTTATCTTGCTGTCATACCAGGCAAGTCTTCA